TGTCTCTCTCATACTCCAACCAGCATCACTTTTAACCCACTGTCTCCATCTTTTGTTATGTTCATTTATGTTAGCTTCTTTTGACTTTTCCTTGGAATTTTAAAAATGTTTTTAATTTCATGCTGTGTGTGTGTGTGTGTGTGTGTGTGTGTGTGTGTGTGTGTGTGTGTACTAGTACTAGGGCTTGAACTTAGTGTCTGGGCTCTCTGCCCCTTAGCTTTTTTCCACTCAAGACTGGTGCTCTACTACTTGAGCCACATTCCACTTCAGCTTTTTGCTGGTTAACCTCCTAGACTACCAGGGATTTTTTTTTTTCTTTTTCTTTTTGTCAGTCATGGGGCTTGAACTCTGGGCCTGAGCGCTGTCCCTCAGCTCTTCAGCTCAAGGCTCTACCACTTGAGCCACAGCACTGTGTCTGGCTTTCTTTGTTTATGTGGTACTGAGGAATCAAACCCATGGCCTTATGCATGTAAGGCAAGCACTCTACCACTGAGCTACCTTCCTAGCCCTATCCTGCCAGGACTTTAAACAAAGGAGCCAGGGAGCTCCACCTCCTAAGTAGCTAGTATTACAAAATGTGAGCCACCAGTGCCTGGCTCAGGTTTCTGATATAATGAATTTATAACCAGAGAAAAATAGTTGCCTGACATATTTTTAAATTTTTTTCAAAGCTAGCAATCTTTTATGTCTTACTGTTTCTATCCTAACCTTGGAAACAGGAGTTTGGTTGGTTTCCTTGGAAAGCTTTGCTACAGACAGAACAATCTGTACATGTAATTAGGTGTGTCTAAAATCTTAGAAAAATTCCAATGAATTGAGCCTTTAACTTCAGATTTCTCTGGCAATCCTCTTTCCTAACATTTCTGTACAGTTTCTACCTGAGGCAATGCTACTCACACCTTTTGCTTTCCACAGAAAACCTTAGAATTCTTATAGAATTTTATGCAATGAAATAATTTTGCATTGAAAACATGGAGACTTAAGTACTTACTAAACTTAAACAATGTAGTAACCATGTAATTAGAGGATGAATACAAGAGCATAAAATAGCTGGGCTTCGGTGGCTTACACCTGTAATCCTAACTACAGGAGGCTGAGATCAGAGGATCATGGTTCAAAGCCAACCCGGGCAAGAAAGTCCATGAAACTCTTATTTCCAATAATCATCAGAAAACCGGGAGTGGTGCTGTGGCTCAAATGGCAGAGCACTAGCCTTGAGCTGAAGAGCTCAGGGACAGTGCCCAGGCTCAGAGTTCAAGATCCATCTTCCCAGCCCTTGTTCCACCTTTCCCCCTTCCTCATCCTGGAGCTTGAGCTCTGGGTCCAGGTGCTGACCCTAAGCTCTTTTTGCTCATGGTTATCACTCTAGCACTTGAGCCACAGTGCCACTTCCTGCTTTTTTTTTTAATGATTAATTGGAGATATGAGTCTATCATGGACTTTCCTTGCCTGGGCTGGCTTTAAACTGAGATCCTCAGATCTCAGCCTGCTGAGTAGCTAGGATTATAAGTGTGAGCCACTAGCGATGGCTTTTTTAAAAAAAAAAATTAAGATAAATGGTTTTCTAGGTTGTATATCTTTAAGTGGTCATGAACTAACCCTTGTAAGTTATCCTATGAAGATAAATCTGATTCATTTTGGCCTGAATTTTGATCGTAATGACTATGCTTGCTTCAGTAACACATATACTAAAATTAGAATGATGCTTGTGACAATGTGTGGTTTCTGAGTAGTGTTTTGAGGGTCCTACTTAATAAAACTTCATGTCTCAGGGCTGTTCGGACTGGGTGTGTAGTTCAGTGAAATAACATATACAGAACTTTGGCAAGGCCTTTCCTGAGAAGACATATTCTCAGCTATTGAAGAGGCTGAGGCAGGAGGATCATTTGAGCCCATGAATTGGAGGCCAGCTTAGACAATATAGCAAAACCATTTCTTAAGATGGAGAATATTAGCCTGGCATGCTCCTTTCCCCACACTAGCCAATAAATGGTCCTTTTGGTGCAGGCAGCTGATGACCAGCTTCCTCCCTCTCCCCTTGAAGTAACATTCCATTTGGCCAGTCACAGCCACAAATGATAACAGCAGCCCCCTTATCTATTATTCCTGCAACTGCCATAAATCTTAGTCCACCATAATGGAATCCTCTGCTCTTTAAGTCTTGCATGAAATCCTGCCCTTAGTCCCTCTAGATTATAAGAACCTCCCTAAACAAAGACAAGCACTTTTTTCTCTCCCTCCAATGAGAGAACTAGCCTTCTCTGCTCCTCTGCTAACAATGAACTCCTTTCTCTGTATGTGTGTGTGTGTGTGTGTGTGTGTGTGTGTGTGTGTGTGTGTGTGTGTGTGTGTGTGTGGACTGTGTGTCCAAGTGATTTTCTGGGATGGTGCTGTTAGCGAAGTGAGCTCCTTGCCATAGCTCAGTCCACTCCTTCCCTTTGCCACAGTTTAGCATACTCCCTTCCTAGGCAACACTAGGCCCCTGTAGTAAAGGCAGTAAATAATCAACTTCCAACCCCCTTTACCTTGGGATGGCACTGCTCTGGGGCAGCTACCACCATATAAGGCAACAAGAGCCCCTTAGAGTGACCTTCAGGTCTGGGCAGTTGCAAGACCCCTTATCTACTATTTGGACAGCAGCCATAAATCCTAGTCCACCATGATGAAGCCCCTGGTACTTTCAAAGAATAGCCACCCCTCCATCCCTGCTGCAAAAGAACCCCCCAAAACTGCCCACTACCTTAACTAGTAGGTGTTTCTACTACAATACTTGACAAATATGATTTTAACTGTCCTTGGATCTGGTTTAATTTCCACCCCCCTCCCAGGTCTTGAACTCAGAGCCTCAAAGCTTTCACTTGGCTTTTTTTTCTCACAGCAGGTGTTCTGCCATTTGAACTATACCTCTACTTCAGGCATTTTTTCCTGGCTAAATTGAGAAAAGAATTTCTCAGATTTGTCTGCCTTGCCTGGCTCCTAGTCAAGATTCTCAGAACTCAGACTCCCAAATAGCTAGGATATTTATAGGCATAAGTCACTGACATCTAGCTTGCTGTTTGGAGATGGTTTTTTGCAAACATTTCTGCTTGAGATGGCTTTAAACCAGATGCTTTAGAACTCATCCTCCTGGAAAGCCAGGATTCTAGGTGTGAGCCACTCATGGCCAATTTTACTTCTCATCTCTTCATATTTTGTCCCTAGGTTTCAAGTTAATGCTGGGTACATAGCAAATCCTTCATAAATATTTTTTTTGGAGGGAGAATAAGAAAGAGGAAAAGTGGTAGGAAAGGAGGGAGTCAAGAATGAATGGAGATAGGAAGGGGTGAGAGGAAGGGAGAAAGAAACGGTCAGAAAATGGGAGGTTTAAGAGTGAATTAGTATAGTTATTTTCATATTTCTTACCATTGATGCCTGATTTAAAGTACAGATTCCATATATATTATTTTTGAAGTTAAAGACAGCAATACTGAAAGGCAATTATTAAGAACAACACTTTAAACAAACAACACTTAAATTTTACTTTAATTTCATGTTCTCCAGTTCATTTGCCAAAATGATATATCTCCTAATACATCATACTAGTGTTCTCACAGTATGGTCTCTAGACCAGGGACTTCACTTGGGACTGTCTTAGATATAAAGATAAAGCCCAATCTTAATCTATGAATCTAAAACCAAAGGTGAGTTTTGTTTTTCCTTTTTTGGGTCCAGTCGTGGGGCCTAAACACACTGTCCCACAGCTCTTCAGCTCAAGGCTACTTGAGCCATGGTGCCACTTCCAGCTCTTTTCTTTTTGCTTATGTGGTGCTAAGGAATTGAACCCAAGGCCTCAGGCATGCAAGGCAAGCGCTCTACCACTGAGCTACCTTCACAGCCCTTCTTTTTCTTTTTCTTGAGATAGGTTCTCACTATGAAGTCCAAGCTGACCTTCAACTCAGGCTTCCTGCTTCAACTTCCTGAGTGCTGGGATTACATAATACCTGGCCTAACATTCTGTTTTAATGGCTACACTCTTGAACTCAGGGCCTTGCCAAGCTTTCTTGTTCTAGGCTGTAACTTTATCACTTGAGCCACACTTCCAGTCCAAAGGTGATTCTCATACTACCTGTCTTGAGAACCAGTGCATAGTTAATTCTTCAAAATGCTAGCACTATTATGGGTGAAAAGACACTACCAAATTCCAGTGTTTTTAGGTATCAGCCGGAATGATTTAACTTTCACTTAAAAATGTTTTCTTCATTAAAAGTTGACTATACTATTTTAGAATGCATGGAAATGTAGAAAGGAGAGAGAAAAGTTATAAGCCCTCTGTTCTCCTCTTGTTAAACTGCTCCCCTATGCCATTAAAATTTCACCAACTTAATTTTCCCTATTAAGTGTCAAGTTATGGTACAGAGGCCCTACTATTTAATCAGTGGCCTCCCAGATCTTTCTTTTTCTAGGAAATAGGGAGACCACATTGTAATTACCAAGAGCCCAGATTTTGAGATCTGATGAATATCAGTTTGGTTGCACCTCAGTCATTCAAGTAAATGCATTACCTAAGATCTACGTGCTTTCAGTGTTCCCAAGCCAGCTCTCCATCCTTCAACCCAAGCCCCATAACTTGTGGAGACGAGGTTGGGAGGTGCCTGGTGCCTCCATCCCTTACATTTGGATGTGGAAACGCCATGGTTAGTAATTTAGGGTTAGGATAGCGGTCAGGTGTTGGCCGAGGTACAGATGGGTACAGCCCATCTACAGATACATCTTTTCTTTCTTGGAATACTCAAAGGCCAGTGAGACCTCCATCGAGTTATTCGAAGGGAAACTTTCCAGAGAGGTCCGGATCTGCATTACAAGAGTCTCCCCAGTGATTCTGCCAGTCCACTGGGAGGACAAACAGAGAGTGGACCAAACCAACATCCAGAGTCAGCGCGGTGCCTTTAAGAACCCCTCCTCCCCCTTCCGCCTCGGCCCCGCCCTCACAGGGGCGGAGGCGGAACCGGAAGCGTGGGACAAGGCGGGCCCCAACATGGCGGCCGCCTGGGCCTCCAGGCCCGCTTCTGCGGAGGCCATGGCCGCCCGCCTGCTGGGGCTCCTGTGGCTCGTGACCGTCACCACGAGACCTTGGGCGGCTGCCGCCGCGGCGGACGAGGAGACATTTAAGTGCGAGGACCTCAAAGTGGGACAATATCCTCTGTGTCGTGTCCCCCGGCGGCGAGGCCGGCGCGGCCCGGGCTGGGCGGAAGGGAACCGGGGCCGGGGTCTCCCGTGGCCGGGGAGCCCGGAGACGAGGCGGGGCGGCGGGGCCCGGGCGGCCGCGGCCACCGAGCGTGCCTTGCGTGGGGCTTGGCTGGCCGGTGTTTTCCTCGTTCACCCCTGATCTCCCGGGGTTCTTACTTGTCCCACAGGGGATGCCAGGCCCTGCCCCAGACCCTGGGAACGCAAACCTGGAGACTCCACCTGGAGGCTGGCCGAAGTGGAGGGGCACGGAATAGGTTAACTACTCACGAGCCAGTCCGCGTTGATGCCTTGTCATTACTAGCACCTGTGAGACGCGGATCTGGCAGATTCCGGCTCCCTGGTGTAACCTGTGTTTAAAACGACTTAAACGCTACGCTGTATGCGTGAAAGTGTTGCTGGCATTGGCCAGCGGTTGCAATATTTAAATTAGCACAGGTAAGGCACTTAGAACTGTGAGTGGCATAATAGGGCTGTATGCATTAACCGTTTTAAAAACGGAACTGAAGCTGAATTAGGATTAGGTAAGTTGCCTTACATTATAGCACAGTTTATGATAAAACTCAGATGAAATGGAACTATAATGAAAGTGGCTACCTATGTACAAAATTAGACAACTTTTATACAAACTGGAACAGAGAAACTAATAACAGAAACTAAAGGTTACATGCTCTGTACATAGGTTTATAAGTAGAAACATAATGTGATCATGTATCACTTTATAGTCCTGTTTGTTTTTGTGCTAGTACTGAGGCTTGAACTCAGAGCCTGGGCTCTGTTCTTTCTTGCTAAAGGTTGGAGCGAGCCACTGTTCCACTTCATTGTATTAAAAGTAATGTTCAGGTATTGTTTAACAGCATTAAAAATGTTCTTGTGATTGTTGAGTTGGACAAACTAGAACCTCTCATTCCATATGACTTATCACCGGGAATATATAAGATATGCAAGATCATGTTCTATGTTGGAAATAAAGTTCCTGTTTCCTTAATTTTTTAAACATATATATGTAAAGATCCTCAAATAAATGATGCTACACAAGAACCAGTTAACTGTACAAACTACACAGCTCATGGTAAGACTTCCAGGATAATTTCTTTTTCTTAATTTTATTTTCATTTTTTATTTTTTTTGTGTGTGTTTTTTTTGGTCGGTCCTGGGACTGAACTCTGGGCCTGGGCGCTGTCCCTCAGGCTCTTCAGCTCAAGACTAGCACTCTATCACTTAAGCCATAACACCACTTTCGGCTTTTTTCTGCTTATGTGGTGCTGTGGAACCGACCCCAGGGCTTCATGCATGCGAGGCAAGCACTCTACCACTGAGCCAACTTCCCAGCCCTCATTTTTTATTTGTTTGGGATGCTGCTGGGGCTTGAGCTCAAGGCCTGGACACTGTCCTTTTTGCTCATTGTCCCTTAGCTCAAGGGTAGTGCTATACCATTTGATCCACAGCTCAGTATTTTAAAACATTGTCCTTAAGTAGTTATGCAAAGAAGTTTCAATTCAAAATGTCAATTTATGCAAGCAATACACTGTGATAAATGTCACCCCTTCCATTGCAGAATTATATCTTTAAGAATATACACACAAGGGCTAGGAATGTGGCTTCGTGGTAGAGGCCCTGGGTTTGATTCCTTAGTACCACATAAAAAATCAAAACAAACCAACAAAAAAGAATATACATACAACCAGGTGCTGGTGGCTTGTTCCTTAATCCTAGCTGCTGAGGAAGCTGAGACCTGATGATCATGGTTCAAAGCCAGCCCTGGGCAGCAAAGTCTGTGAGACTCATTTCCTATTAACCACCAGGAAACTGGAAGTGGATCTGTGGTTCAAAGTGGTAGAGCCCTAGCCTTAAGCAAAAAACCAAAACAAAAAATAACTTAGGGACATTGCTCACACCTGAAAAGAAAAATACACATATATACGTATGTATTTATATGTATACATACATATATATGTATGTATATATTTTTTGGTATTTAGGGTATTTTTGGTATTTGGTATTTAGGGTTCGGTTGTGGGGTTTGAACCTTGATTTTCAGATCTTAGCCTCTTGAGTAGCTAGGATTAAAGATGTGAGGTACTGTTACTGTTACCCAGCTTAATAATTTAAATATTTTGAAACTATTTCATATGGTCAGTGTATGACCATTAAGAGTAATCAATGTGTTTTTAAAGTTTAACATCACTGTTAAGTTTTCAGAGCAATTCAGATTTGGAGAACTGGCTAGGGATTGTCACTGTTTAATAATTTTAGTTCTGAGCACTGGAACCCAGGACCCGAATGAATGCTCTATGATGGAACTATACCCCTTCCCCAGTATTTAACAAAGAACAATAATTTAATTACATAAACTAGAAAGTTTTATATTTTATTATTTGCTTTGGATCTCCAGAATTATTTTTTTCTTTCGGGTCCGGTCGTGGGGCCTCAACTCTGGGCCTGGGTGCTGTCCTCATCTCTTCAGCTCAAGGCTAGCGCTCTACCACTTGAGCCACAGCACCACTTCCGGCTTTTTTCTTTTTGCTTATGTGGTGCTGAGGAATCGAACCCAGGGCCTCAGGCATGCAAGGCAAGTGCTCTACCACTGAGCCAACTTCCCAGCCTATTTTTTTCTATTTTAAAATTCTTTGTTTTTGTTTTTTGTTTTTGGATGCTGGTCTTAGGGTTTGAACTCAGGGCCTGGGCACTGTCCCTGAGCTTTAATGCTTAAGGTTGGCACTCTACCACTTTGAGCCACAGTTACATTTCTGGCCTTTTGTAGTTAATTGGGGATGAGAATCTCATGGACCTTCTTTCCTGGGCTGGTTTTGAACCTCTATCCTCAGATCTCAGCTTCCTAAGTAGCTAAGATTACAGATGTTAGCCACCATGCCAGTTTAAGGTCTTTTTGTTGTTGTTGTTGTTGGTCATGGGGCTTGAACTCAGGGTCTTGGTGCTGTCCCTGAGCTCTTTTGCTCAAGGCTAGCGCTCTAGCCCTTTGAGCCAGAGATCTACCTCTGGTTTTCTGGTGGTTAATTGTAGATAAGGTCTCATGGAGTGTCTGCACTGGCTTTGAACCTTGATCCTCAGATCTCAGCCTGAGTAGCTAGGATTACATGCATGAGCCACCAGTACCTGGCTCTTAAGTTCATTTTTTATTGATATATAAAAATAAAATTTTTATACCTACTTGTGTGGTATGATGTAATGCTTAAGTACATGTATGTGTTGTATACAATATTTAAGTGAAGGTAAATTGGTCGGCCTCAAACATAGCGTTTGTTTCTTAAGCTTTATTATGCAAAGATGTGTTAGGATTTTTATCGTTGGTTATTATTATTATTAAAAATTTTTTTGTTTGTTGTGGGGCTTGAACTCTGGGCCTGGGCACTGTCCCTTAGCTCTTCAGCTCAAGGTGAGCACTCTACCACTTGAACTACAGCACTACTTCCAGTTTTCTGAGTGGTTTATTGGAGATAAGAGTCTCATGGAAACAAAGGAGGAGGCAACAATGCTTGATAAGAAATATACTCATTATCTTGCCTGTGTAATTGTAACCCCTCTGTACAGAATTTTCACAATAAAAAAAAAAAGTCTCACAGACTTTCCTGCCCAGGCTGGCTTTGAACCACTATCCTCAGATCTCAGCCTCCTGAGTAGCTAGGATTACAGGTGTAAGCCACCGGCGTCTAGCTATTATTTTAGACATCTTACTGTGTTACTCAGGCTAGGGTTACTCAGGTAACCTTCTTGTGTCAGCCTGAGACTATGAGCGTGTACCACCACACCCAGACAGTACATGGGTTGGTAATTACTGACAAAGAATTTGAAATGACTCAGTTCAATATAGAACAGAAAGGAAATATATTGCCTTCTTATATACCTGTAATATATAATTAGGTACATAGGAAGTATGAAAACAGTGTGATAAGGATTTTAAGTATGCATAGGATTTTCTTAGGTGTTTTGATAATGGATATTAGCCCAGTTCTAGTCAGGAGAGATATCTGAAAGTATGTTGTGTTAAACTTATCATTGACCTTTTACTACTATGCTGAATCATGAAATAATACTTCAGAATTATGTTTGTTTGTACATGCCTGGTTTAGTAGATACAGCATAATAAGTATATATTTATTCAATTTAGGTTATTTAAAAAGAACTTTGTAGGCCGGTGCTGGTGGCTCACACCTATAATCCTAGTTACTCAGAAAGCTGAGATCTGAAGATTGCAGTTGGAAGCCAGCCCGGGCAGGAAAGTCCGTGAGACTTATCTCCAGTTAACCACCAGAAAACCGAAAGTGGTGCTGTGGCTTAAGTGGTACAGCACTAGCCTTGAGCTGAAGAGCTCAGGGACAGCATCTAAGCCCAGAGTTCAAGCCCCATGACTGACAAAAAAGAAAAACAAAAAGAACTTTGTGATTAATACCTCTCTTTGGGTAGTGTTTAAGTATGCTTTGATTTGCATGTTTTATAGTTAAAAGCTTTTATATTGTAGCTTTTATAACACAGAACATAGGACTAATATACATAAAAAACTCAGCTCTCTTAGCCATATGCTGATGGCTCATACCTGTAATCCTGGTAACTCAGGAGGCTAAGAGCTAATGATCAAGAATCAAAGCCAAACCCAGTTAGGAAAGTCATGAGATGCTTACCTCCAGTTAACTACCAGAAAACTGGAAGAAGAGCTGTGGCTCAAGATGATAGAGCACTAGCTTTGAGCAAAGGAGCTTACCAACAGTGCCCAGGCCCCGAGTTTAAGCCCTGTGACCACCAAAAAATAAAAAGGGCTCAACTATCAAATATACTTGTTTGTAATCATTCATATGAAAGATGTTGGTAATATATGCCTGCTATTTATGACTCAGTATCTAACCTCAAGCAGAAGCTGGCAGCTAGATGTCCTAAAAAAAGCATTTTCTAACCCAGGAGCTGGTGGCTTATGCCTGTAATCCTAGTTACTCAAGAGGCTGAAATCTGAGGATTGAGGTTTGAATCAGGACTGGCACACACACACACACACAAAGAGAAATGTACTCATTACCTTGCTCATGTAATTGTAACCCCTCTGTACGATATTTTCAGAATAATAATAAAAAAATCATTTTCTAGCTTGTGGGGTTATTTGCACATAGGAATTAATATAATTAAAAAAATAGTTTCTGCTCAATCAGGGCTCTGCCCTCAGTTAGATGTCTTTTGGATAAAGTAAGTTTAAATTCTTATTGAGTCTTGAATTCAGGGCCTGGATATTGCCCCTGTGCTTTTTTTTTTTTTTGCTTTTTTGTTTTTGGGTCCAGTCGTGGGCCTGAACTCTGGGCCTGGGCGCTGTCCCTCAGCTCTTCAGCTCAAGGCTAGCACTCTACCACTTGAGCCACAGCGCCAATTCCGGCTTATTTCATTTTGCTTATGTGGTGCTGAGGAATTGAACCCTGGGCCTTAGGCATGAAAGGCAAGCGCTCTACCACTGAGTCGCCTTCCCAGCCCCTGCCCCTGTGTTTTTGTGCTTATAGCTAGCACTCTGCCATTTGAGCCACAGCTCCATTTGAGGCTTTTTGTTGGTTAATTGAAGATAAGTGTGTCATAGACTTCTTTGCCCAGGCTGGCTTTGAATTGCAATCCTCATATCTCAGCCTCCTGAGTAGACAGGACTACAGTCGTGTCACTGCTGCCCAGCAGAATTCTCTTAACAGTTATTGATACTAAGATGATCCTTGGTATCCATGTGTATATGGTTTCAAGGAAAGTGCTGTTGAGGGAAACCCATAAGTGCTTAAGATGCAGAATTCAGTGCTCTTCATGTTTCATTCATTTTTCCCAAAACACTGCCCAACTTCTGCTAATGATATTCAGCCTTTCAACAAATCTAAAATACTCACTTTCACAAGCTTTCACCTTGAGGGTTGGAGTGTTGGGTACCATTTGCTTTTGGAAGGCTTATTTTCACAGATTTAAGGTCAGAGAAATAACAGATGACACAATGATTGAAGCACAACTAATGACACATTACTGAGTGGCACAACAACTGAGTTGCTAAGTGCACCTCTGGGAATTAAAATTTTTGTTTTTAAAATTTCTTTTGATTAAAAAATTTCAATAAAGCTCTCTGTACTAAGTTAATGAAGCTAGGGATCTTACTGTATGTGAAAACAACCACATGATGAGATTGCCAGGAAGTATAAAGGATGGATTGCAGTGATCTATTGTAGGCTTTAAGTATTCATAGATGAAATAAACACAAGTACAGGGAAAGAGAAGAAAGTCTTCCTATAAAGCTTTCATTTGAGGAGATTAAAGCATGTAAAATGTAAGTACATTTGTCTATATTTGGGAACTATTAATAAATGTATTAATAAATGAATGACCTCACAAAGTAATAAATGAGTGAAAAAGCCAAGGGAGAATGCAAGCCCCTGATTTGAAGCCTCAGTACTGGCACATGCACTCAAAAACCTATTAACATTTATGGAGTGAAATAGTTTATGCTATCAAGATTCCAATAAACAGGACAGAAGTCAGCATAGGTAGGTTTTTTTTCTGTCCTGCATTTTTTCCATAGTATTTGAATTTTAAAAGTATGATTAAAAATTTAAAATCTGTTATTATAAAGGTGATGTATAAAGGGGTTATAGTTACATAAATCAGGCAAAGAGCACATTTCTTTTTGGACAGTGTTACCTCTTCCCTTGTTCTCTTCCAGTTTTTCCTCTCATCCCTATCCACAAGGTGTATAGTTCATTTTCAACAGTGTTTCTAGTGAGTGCCATTGCTCCATAAAAATTATTATTTTATTATTAGTATTAAGCTGCTGTACAGAGAAGTTACTGGTTCATAAGTCAGTTAATGAGTACTTTTTTCCCCTTGGTCCTGGGGCTTGAAATCAGGGCCTGGGCTCTGTCCCTGGGCCTCTCCATGCTCAAGGCTAGTGGTTTACCACTTAAGCCACAGTCTACTTCCAGCTTTTTCTGAGTAGGTTATTGGAGATAAGAATCTCTTGGACTTTCTTGCCTGGGTTGGCTTTGAATCTCACTCCTCAGATCTCAGCCTCCTGAGTAGCCAGGCATGAACCACTGGTGCCTGGCATGAGTATACACCGATTCCTTTGCTTTCCTTCAGTTTCCCCTTCCCATCCCTGCCCACAAATTGTGTAGTTCATTTTTCTCAGTGTCTGCTGAGTACCATGACTGCATTCGTTAACTCTGCTTCCCTCCATTTCTGTGGCCTCCTTGCCACTTTTCAAAAGATGGAAAAGAAACAAACAAAACTTGCCACCACCACCAACAAAAAAAAAAATCTATGTTTTCATTCCTTGGAATTCATTTCGATTAATAGTATTTTTGATAACTCATTTAGATAAATAGTTCAGGGGCATTTGGGTTTCTCGCCTATGTATCCTTCTTTAGTCTCACTGTGTGTGAATGCTTGCAGTCCTGTATAATTTATAATGCCTGATATATTTTAGATCTAGCTTCCAGACAAAATGTCCTGGCTGGGCTGGGAAGGTAGCTCAGTGGTAGAGTGCTTGTCTTGCATGCATGAGGCCCTGGGTTCCATTCCTCAGCACCACATAAGCAGAAAAAACCAGAAGTGGTGCTGTGGCTCAAGGGGTAGAGTGTTAGCCTTTAGCTGAAGAGCTGAGGGACAATGCCCAGGCCCAGAGTTCAGGCCCCATAACCGGAAAAAAAAAAAAAAGTGTCCTGGCATCATTTTTATTTTTATTTTTTAAGTATACCAGTTTAACCTAAAAGAAGGACGGGGGTTTGTTGGCAGCTTAAGAAACTAAATACTGGTTCGGGGGAGTTGGGGGGGAAGATGGGGGAGGATGGGAAGGGGAAACAAAGAGGAGGCAACAATGCTTGATAAGAAATGTACTCGTTATCTTGCCCATGTAATTGTAACTCCTCTATACGGTATTCTCACAATTAAAAAGAAACTAAATACTATTGTTTTCTCCTGTATATCTGGGATTACAGCACATACCATCATGTCTGGATTGTTTTTAACATTGGATTTGGCTAGGTGTCAGTGGCTCATACTTATAATCCTAGCTATTCAGGAAGCTGACATCTGAGGATTGCAGTTTGAAACCAGTCTGGGCAGGAAAGTCTTTAACAACTAGAAAACGGGAAGTGGCACTGTGGCTCAAAGTGGTAGAGCACTAGCCTTGAGTAAAAAAGTTCAGGGACTGTGTCTAGGCCCTCAGTTTAAGCTTTGTAACTGACAAAAAAAAAAAAAAAAAGATTGGATTTGGCCTTGGTTTGCCTGATAAGCAATCTTCCTATCTCTCCCTCCCAAGTAGTCAGATAGGTCTTTCTTATTTTATTCTTCTTGTTCTTCACAATATGATTCTAGAAAGTCTTCAGGATCATGTCTGTTCCATATACAGTAATTTCTGTAGGTATTGCTTTCTCACATTATATTAGGTGGATTGTGAATATAGATCAAAATTGGTAAATGCTGAAATACTACATCAAAACTTCGAAGGAGTTAAGAAACACATTTACAATAAGAATCTTAATTTATCTGAAATAGTTAAAATAAACTAGAAATACCAACAGAAATTATGTTATAATAACTTAGTAGATTAATTACCAGTAAAAAATTAGTGTTCATTCTTGGAAAAGGTAAAGTCAGAAGAATCAAAAGTTTCAGGTCAGCCTGGGCCACATCATGAGGTATATCTGAAAAAACCAAGGACTGTTATTTAGTGGTAGAGCTTTTGCCTAGCACACATGAACAGTTCAAGTGTTCTTTACCCTCCAGATGAAGTACAAGAAGGAAATACTTTATGATTTGTCCTTGGTCATCTTTTCCAGAGGCATGTATCTAAAGCAGAATGTGTTAAAAGACATCTATCTGGGATTTATGTTACACACTTGTAACAGCCTGAGCTACATAGCAGGGCTTGGGATCCTAAAATAAAATACATATAATATGGTATATCATATTGTACCTATTATTTATAAACGCATATGTAATATAGTTTTTCCTATCTAAATTAAAGCCTTATATCAGATATGTTGGGAGGTATTCTGTTATGCATGTTCTTGTGTGCTTTCACCAATCTTAGAAAAACAATGAATTTTTTTTCTGCCTTTAGTCCAATGTTTTCCAGCACCCAACATAACTTGTAAGGATTTCAGTGGCAACGAAACACATTTTACTGGAAATGAAATTGGTTTTTACAAGCCTATATCATGTCGAAATGTGTAAGTACATTACTGAGATTTAAATTTCAGATTACTTGTATCTTGAATTCACACAATGAAGAGATAGAAGAGATTATTTGACATGGAAATCCTATGAATATCTTTATCCTTTCCCTTTGTCATAAAAACCTCAAAAACCCCATTCATTCATTCATTCATTGCAGTCCTAGAGATGGTTTCAGGGCCTCTTGTATTCAGGGTAAGAACTTTACCAGAATTAATATTCTCTTCCCTTTTAGTTTGAGACAAGGTCTTTATGAATGATCCAGGCTGGCTTTGAACTTGCCATCCTCCTGCCCTCCTAGGCAACTGGGATTGCAGGCATGTGCCAAGAAAACCTGTTCTTTAAGTCTGCATATGTCGTTTTTTTCTTTTTTCTCTGCCAGTCCTGGGGCTTGAACTTGTAGCTTGAGTGCTGTTCCTGAGCTTTTTGCTCTAGGCTACCCCTCTACCACTTGAGCCCCAGCTTACTTCTGGCATTGTGGTGGTTAATTAGAGAAAAGAGTCTCATGGACTTTACTGCCTGGACTGGCTTTGAACCATGATTCTCAGATCTCAGCCTCCTGGAATAGCAAGGGTTACAGACGTGATCCCCTGCTACCTGGATTCTGCATACCTTTTTGTAAATGTAGTTCAACAGCAAATAGAACTGGAATTACCAGGACAAATAAAGATAATATATGCTAATTCAGCACTTAGCTTATGCTACCTACTGAGATGTTTTTCTGCCAGCAGTGGTGGTAAATCCCTATAATCCCAGCACTTAAGAGACTCAGGCAGAGAGCTGGGGTATGATTCAGGTGGTAGAGTGCCTACCTAACAAACTCCAGTAATGCCCGCCCCTTCTCCACCCCCCCCCCCAAAAAAAAAAAATTAAAAAGACAGAGGTAGGAGAATCTCTAATTGGAGGCCAGACTTGGCTGCATAGAAAGTTCAAGGCCAGTCTGGCTATATAAGGAGTCTCAGTCCCAAAAGGCCAAAGCAAATAAGCACATTCTGTTTCTTAAGTTTGAGGGATTGCTACAATACAGTTAGGTATTGTATGAGAAAAGCATTAATTATTTTTAATCATAGTAAGACAAGTTCATTTTGTTAAGTATGTTCTCTGTTTAAGGGCTTTTAGGTTTTAGTTTTAGTTTTATTATAGTAAAACATGGTTTATTCTTTCCGTTTTGTACTAAAAGTATGATTTTACCCATTTATATTAGTTGCTGAAAATATATGTATGTGCTTACATTGTTTTTGATAGCACCTATTTGAAATTATGTCAAGAAATACTGTTTGGCTATTTCTACAACCATTTTCAAAATCTTTAGAAAGAAGGCTTAGCATCCTTTCTTTTTCTTAGAACCCACTTGATTGAGTTAACAAAGTTCCAAAATTTCTTGTTAACAATGCAAAGATTTTTTTTTTTAAGGAATTATGTCTAAAGTTTCTAGATAAGATTTGGTTAGTTTCTAAGCCTTAGATTGATATTTTTACCTTAAACATTCCAAATGATAAGTAAAGTGCTAGTTTAGGAAACCAGAGTTTCTTGTTATTTACTTATTTATTTTTATTGTTATTATAAAGGGATATATACAGAGGAGTTACCGTTTTGTAAGTCAAGTAGGGAGTACATTTTGGACAGTGTCACCCCGTTCTTCATTCTCTTCCAGTTTTTTCTTCCTGTCCCCACCCACAAGCTGTATAATTTATTTTTTTTTGTGAGTCATGGGGGTTAAACTCAGGGCCTAGGTGCTATCCCTGAGTTTTTCTGCTCAGGCCTAGTGTTCCACCACTGTGAAACACAGCACCATTTCTGATTTTCTGGTCATTTTTTGGAAATAAGAATCTCACAGACTTTTCTGCCTGGGCTGGCTTTAAACTAGGATCCTTAGATTTCAGCCTCCTGAGTAGTTGGATTATAGGTATGAGCCACCAGCACCCAGCATATAGTTCATTTTCAGTATAGTTTCTGCTGAGTACCACTGCATTTATTCACCCTGTGTCTCTTCATTTTTGTACCTCCCTCTACCCCCAAAGACAGAAAAAGAATGAATAAGACAAAAAGAAGAAAACAAAAAACAACAGAGAAAAATAACCTCTTGTTTCCATTTCCTGGAGTTCATTTTGATAAAAATTATTTTATATGATCAGAGGTACATAGGCATCGCACCTTTATTTTCCTTCCCTAGGAGTGTCTTCCTTTGGTTTAATGTGTGTGAATGCCTAGAGTCCTTTATAAATTTTTCATGTATTTTAGATCTAGCTTCCACATATGAGAGGAAACATGCACTATTTGTCTATTTGAGCTTGGCTTTCTCACTTAACATGGTTTGTTCTAGGTCTAATTCTGTGCAAAAAATAATATTCTTTCTAATGGCTGTGTAAAATTCCATTGTGTATAGCTATTACATTTTTGGGATTCACTCATCTATTGCAGGGCATCTAGGCTTTTCCATAACATGGCTATTGTGAATAGTACAGTAATGAACATGGATGTGCAAGTGTCTTTATGGTATCCTGGCTTGTGATGTTTGTCTCACCTGTATTATTGAAATAGTTGGGAAACTTTTGTCCCTGTGATAGTTTGAATTTGTTCAGCAAGAGTTGGGGGCATGGCTCAAGTGGTAGAGTAGTTGCGTAGCAAGTGTAAGGATCTGAGCTGAAAAAAAAAGTGAATTTGTTTAGCAAGTGTTCATTCTTCTTATTCTTTGTTAGTGGGTAGTGTGTACTTCCTTCATCACTGATTTTGGGCTAGATTGTGTTACTTAATTTGGCCACTATAATGTGAGCAGGTGTGAGACAAACAAAAGCTTAAACATGCTTGTAGGGTTTAGTTTCCTTTTTTATGTCTGCTAAAGAACCTGCCCACATAGCTACTACATTGTCTGCTTGGGCCCTAGATAGGTTAAGTTTGCCAGATTGAGCTGAATTTACAGCCTGATCTAAGCTCAGCCAAACCTCAGCAGGAAGCTAATTTTCCCTATTTAACATAGGTCATTTGAACCATACCTATCTGTACTCTACAAGTGTGAGAAAAATAGCTTATTAATTGTGAACCATTAGGTTGCTTTTTAAATTTTTGGTGTTGATTCTGGGGTTTCAACTAAGAGTCTAGGTGCTGTCCCTGAGCTTTTTTTGCTCAAGGTTAGTGCTCTATCATTTGAACATAGCTCCACTTCTGGCTTTTTAGTTGTTACTTGGAGATTAGAATTTCAAGGACTTTCCTGCCCAGACTGGCTGTGAACTGTAACCCTCAGATCTCAGCCTCATGAGTGGCTAGGTTTACAGGTGTCCTGGGAACCACTAAGTTTTGATGACATCATGAGACTAGCTGATGAATACTCATCTATGTTCTGTTTTAGCACAGCAGCCAAAAACAAATCAGATCATGTCACATCTTAAAATCCTGAAGTAGTTTCCCATTTCTTTCAGAGTGCAAGTTAGTACAAGGTGTGAAAGGCACATCTGCTTCCCTTACTCCTGGTTCCTTCTTTGATCTCATCCATTTCCTATTATCTTCTTTTCTTACTCTATTCCTGTTATACTGGTCTCCTTAACAGGCCTCAGACTTGCCTAATACTTTGCCCCAGCCTTTTCTTTGTCCAGAGTATGATATAACTCCTTAGGTCTTTGCTTACCATTTTAGTGAGGCTTACTGGTTTTTGTTGTTGTTGTTGGTCGTTGGGCTGAACTCTGGGCCTGGGTGCTGTCCCTCACCTCTTCAGCTCAAGGCTAGTGGTCTAGCACTTGAGCCATAGAGCACTTCCAGCTTTTTCTGCTTATGTGGTACTTAGGAATCAAACCCAGGGCCTCAAGCATGCAAGGCAGACCCTCTACCACTGAGCCACCTTCCCAGCCCTTTACACCTTCATACCCCATTTTAAAATTTTTAATGTTGGTCATGGGGCTTGAACTCTGGGCCTGGGCGCTGTCACTCAGCTCTTCAGCTCAAGGCTAGCACTACTCACTTGAGCCACGGTGGCACTTCCGGTTTTCTGCTGGTTTATTGGAGATAAGAGTCTCACAGAGGGCTGGGAAGGTGGGTCAGTGGTAGAGTGCTTGCCTTGCATGCATGAGGCCCTGGGATCGATTCTTCAGGACCACATAAGCAGAAAAAGCCAGAAGTGGTTCTGTGGCTTAAATGTTAGAGCGCTATCCTTAAGCTGAAGAACTGACGGTCAGCACCTAAGCCAGGAGTTCAGGCCCCATGACCGGCAGAAAAAAAAAAAAAAAAAAAAGAGTTTCACAGACTTTCCTGCCCAGGCTGGCTTTGAACCGTGATCCTTAGATCTCAGCCTCCTGAGTAGCTAGGATTACAGGTGTAAGCCACCACCTGGCCTCAAACCCCATTTTTAAGTGGACATTCTGCTCTACATAGTGTGTGTGTGTGTGTGTGTGTGTGTGTTATTACAGTTTGAACTCAGGACTTCACATAGGCTAGCCAAGTGCTCTTTCCACTTGAGTTATACTTTCAACTCTCTTTGCTATGGTTAGATTTAAAATAAAATAAGGTCTTGCTTTTATGCAAGCTAGCTTGGAGCCTGATCCTCCTATTTATACTTCCTGCTGTATCTAGGATGACAGGTACATACTACCCAACCTAGATTTTTTTTCCCTATATCATGTATGTCTTGCAAACAATATGATTTACTTTCAAAAATATTTTGTAATTTTGCTTGTTGCCACATAAATGCAATCACCTGAGGGACACCAATCTTTGTTGCTTTTATTCATTAATATATCTCAATAACTTAGAATAGTGCCTATGACATATAGTTATCCATAAAGCATTAATGGAAATAATGAGGCAATTAATGAATTAATGGCAGTCTGCAGTTTTGTTTTCTAAAATGTTTATATGTTGAAAATAAATAACACCCAGATTTTAATATTGTGCAGAAATGGCTATTCATACAAAGTAGCAGTTGCATTGTCTCTTTTTCTTGGATGGTTGGGAGCAGATCGATTTTATCTTGGATACCCTGCCTTGGGTAAGTGTGTTTCATCAAAAACAAATTAGTATGAAACTTGTAGTCTGTTAAATATATGTATTTGTGTGTGTGTGTGCTAGTCCTAGGGCTTGGACTCAGGGCCTGGGTGCTATCCCTGAGCTTTATTGCTCAAGGCTAGTGTTCTTGAGCCAAAGGTCTACTTCAGGCTTTTTATTGGTTAATTGGGGATAGGAGTCTCATGGACTTTTCTTCCTGGGCTGGCTTCAGATCTTGATCTTCAGCTCTCAGCCTCTTGAACAGCTACTATTATGGGCATGAGCCACTGGCACTAGCTTTAAACTTTTGATTTTGATTGTAGAGCTAATAAACAGGAATTCTAAGGGGAAAAAATAATCTAGAATACATTTGAGGAACTGAATTTTGCAGTTTTACAATAAGATCAATATTTTCCTCATTATTTTTTTGTGGCATGACAATTTGCTTATTTAAATTTAATATTGAAATATATAGCTGATCATGTAATATATCATCAGTAAGTACTCTGGTGTTAAGATGTTCTGTTATTCTGGTATAGTAAGTGTACTTTTATGCCGGGTGCTGGTGGCTCACGCTTGTAGTCCTAGCTACTCAGGAGACTGAGATCTGAGGATCGCAGTTCAAAGCCAGCCAGGCAGGAAAGGCTGTGAGACACTTATCTCCAATAAACCACCAGAAAACTGGAAGTGGCACTGTGGCTCAAGTGGTAGAGCGCCAGCCTTGAGCTGAAGAGCTTAGGGACAGGGCCCAGGACCATAGGTCAAGCCCCATGACCAATAACAACAGCAAAAAAAGTAAGCGTAATTTTGATACAATGAGTTGTTTCTTTTTTGGTTTGTTGTTAGTTGGTATGTGTACAGTGCTGAGGAAGCCAGAGCTGTAAGCATGTTAGGCTAGCTAACTTACCCTGGTATACTAAGATTTAAAGATTTATGTCTCTAGGGATTTTCTCAAGAAATTTTATAATATTGCATTGACATTTTAAAAATAACTAATATTTAGTAAGTGAATAAATTCATGATTTTATTTCATGTAATACGTTAATAAACTTACTTGGGGTTTTCTTTTTTGCATGTTTTTAGGTAAAAGATTTAGTTTTTATAAAGTATTTTTATATTCTTACTGTAGAGTATGGTATACTCTATTTTTTGGTATGCTCTATTATTATTTATTAGAAAATGGAAAAGTTTTGTTATATAAGAGTTTCATAATCATAAATAACTTTAGCTTCTTTTCTAGGTTTATTAAAGTTTTGCACTGTAGGATTTTGTGGAATTGGGAGCCTAATTGATTTTATTCTTATTTCAATGCAGGTAAGTTAGTTTCAATCTGAAATACAAATTAGTTGTACATTCAAAATTGAATTTATTGATCCTCTGCTGGTATGTGTGTGTGTATATGTGTGTATGTGGTATTAGCTGGTATATGTGTATGTGTACATGCACACACATACACACAAAATTTATTTCTGGTGCCAGTCCTGGGGCTTGAACTCAGGGCCTGGGAGCTGTCCCTGAGCTTCATTTGCTCAAGGCTAGTGTTCTACCACTTGAGTTACAGCTCTGCTTCCAGGCTTTTGATAGTTCATTGGAGATAAGTGTATCACAGACTTTCCTGCCCAGGCTGGCTTCAAACCACGATCCTTAGATCTCCATCTCCTGAGCTGCTAGGATTACTAACTGGCATGAGCCACTTGGCCTCTACTGGTATATTTACAATTTTAGATATATTAGGAAGCAGATAGGAGTGCTTGTTTTGGACTACCCTCTCTCCTTCCCTCCCTCCCACCCTCCCTTCCTACCTCACACTTTCCCTCCCTCTCTCCTTTCCTTCCTTTCTTCCTTTCTTTCTCCTTTCTTTGTGAACGTACAGGGCTTGAACTAAGAGCCCAGGCACTGTCTCTTACCTTTTTTTCCTTAAGGCTACTACTTGGGCTACAGCTCTACTTCTGGCTTTTTGTTAGTTAATTGTAAATAAGAGTCCCATGGACTTCCCTGCTTGAGCTGGCCTCAAAACTGTAATCTTCTGATCTTAGCCTCCTAAGTAGCTAGAATTACAGGTATGAGCCACAAGCACCTGTCCTTAGTTTTTATTTGGATGCTGATTTTAAGAGATCATATCAAAGTCATCTTTCCAACAAGCATTTCTCAAACTCATTTCTCTAAAAGATTAAGACAGCTACTGAAAAAGATTTCATGCTCAAATATGATTTGTAGATGTACATTCGACTGAGTTAGAGATTTCTTTATTAAACTTTTCAGAATCTTTATAATGTGTATTATGTTATGTCTTTTAAGAAGTATTGCAGCAAATTCTCAAAGTTCCTGTTTGTTTATTCTCAAACTTACTCAGACTTACTATTTATTAATTACAGTTACTTTGTCAATTACAATAACTAGACATTGATGAGACATACAGATGAGCATTGTGGAGGCAAAAGCAGAATTCCTTTTATGCTGCACAATCACTCTATGATATTCTACTGATTGTAAACTACAGAAACCAATCTAGCTAGATTACAGAGTTAAAAAGGAGTATATAGGTGTTCTGTAGAATGTCTAGGACTGGGACTGGCCTCAAGCATGACCAAGTTCATTCAGATGATGTGATATTCATATGTATTTCTGCCTCACTTTCTCCTGCTATAGTGGGTATGAGGGCAGGCAGAGTTTGAGTAGTCCTATCGTGAGTACTTGAAAGTGCCACATGCTGTCTTCTGTTAAGTTACACTAAACTGGTTGTGGATAACTCTTAAGGATTTTGAAATTAAAGAAGATGATTTATAGAACAAATATTGCCAAACAGTACTTCAACAAGCATTTATGGATCACCTAATGTCTTCAGCAAGGGTGTCAGTATGCATTTAAATCATCATCTGCTTTGCCCTGCTTTCTCATCCAGTATTTCCACTCTGCAGTTCTGTTATCTTATGCTCTAAAAGAAAGTTGAAATCAAAGAGATTTTGGTACCATACTGTGAGGAGGAGGCAGCATATGGACCAATAAGATACCAGAATTAAGCAAGGAAAATATTTGGTTTTAAAGTTGGAATTTCCCTGCCTTTACTCATAAACATATGCCTAACCAAATATCCTGCCATTTCTAACTGTGGGACAGGCAAGCAGGCATGAAGAGGCTAAGGTACTTTTGTGCATATGCTTACAAATGGGTTTCTCATTTGAAATGAAGATCTAAGGAGTTTGATGTACTACTGCATTCTTCAAGAGATCCAGAAATTCAAAGGGTCTTTGTAAATAATCTACAGTTAATATTTTTATTCTAGATTCCCTTTGATGACATTGTCTTTGTTGTATTGCTTTCGTTATAGCAAATTGCGGACCTGATTTGCTTCAGCTACTGCTTTCTGTTACCTTCCTATCTGACGTTTTCACAGTAAATTGTTCTTAAAGAGCTCTTGGAGTTGAGACTATCACATTAAAAAATCATTGAGATAGAATTAGACTGATTTCTGCAGTAGATTTCCACAAATAAGACATTTAATAGTATGGCAGGGTTAGCTGGGCACTGGTGGCTCACACTCAGTTTGAGGCCAGCTGGGGCAGAAAAGTTTGTGACTCCTTCTCAACCCCCAGCTGAACTTACTGGTCCATGCCTGTCATGGCTACGTGGAAGCTTTGTGGGAGCCTAAGACTGTGATGATGGTGGTTTAGGGCTAGCTCAATGAGAAAAAAAGTATGGCTCTATCTCCATGGAGGAAAGTTGGACATGGTTGTGTGGCCCTGTGACTCCATTGATGACCAGAAGCCTAAACTAGGCAGTGTGCATACTGGGTGGGAAGCAAGACTATGTTAAAATAACCAGTGAAATGGCTGAAAGTGTGGCCCAGTGATACCAAGCCTATCTAGGAAGCTGGAAGCCCAGAGTTCATAGCCCAGGACTGTCAGGAAAGAAAAAAGTTTGGCCACGTTAGACTGCTGTCAGCTTGAGGGAAAATAAATTAGTCTTCAGCTATAACCAAATATAATAATGTTGTCTTATTGTCTTATTATTATTTTGTGCCTATACTGGAGTTTGAACTCAGGTCCTGGGTACTATCCCTCAGCTTTTTTGCTGGTGCTCTACCACTTGAGCCACAGCTTCACTTCCCAGCTTTTTGTGGGTTAATTGGAGATAAGAGTCTCACAGGCTTTCCTGCCCAGGTTGGCACCATGGTCCTCAAGTTTCAGCTTCTTTTTTTTTTTTGGCGGTCATGGGGCTTGAACTCTGGGCTTAGGCGTTGTCCCTGAGCTCTTCAGCTCAAGGCAAGAGCTCTACCACTTGAGCCACAGCACCACTTCCACTTTTTTTTTTGTCAGTTGTGGGGCTTGAACTCTGGGCCTGGGTGTTGTCCCAGCTCAAGGCTAGCACTCTACTGCTTGAGCCACAGCACCACTTCTGGCTTTTTCTGTTTATGTGGTGCTGAGGAATTGAACCCAGGGCCTCATGTATGAGAGGCAAGCAACTCTACCACTGAGCCACCTTCCCAGCCCATCACTTAGCTTTTTGTTCAAGGCTGTGGGTCTGCCACATCTCTACTTCTGGTTTTTGTTGAGTTACTTACTGGAGATAAGAGTTTGCCTGGAATGGTTTTGAATCGAGCTCCTCAAATCTCAGCCTCCTGAGTAGTAAGGATTACAGCTTTGAGCCACTGGCGTCTGGCTTATTTTTCTTTATTTTAACTTATAAAATACGTTATTATTTTGACATAGTTGTAAAAAGAGGTTTCAATTCAAACTGTCAGTTTATGAGTACAATGCACTCATCAGTGTCACCCTTGCCATCATTCTCCCCCACCCCTTCGTCTTCTAACCCCATTCATCTCCTCAAGTTACCGTGTTACATTTTCATATGTGTACATGGGACATTATGACTGTGTTTACCCACCCTTCCTCTCTTGATTCATCTGCCTTTCATCCTCTTGACCCTTCTCTGCTTTAGGCAACACATCTCAGTTCCCTGGTATTCCTTTTGTGAAACTATAACCAACACACTAACTTTCACCGTTCACTAGAATAAGATCCTTGTTGGCAGAACTAACATTTGAGTCAGAGTTACATGTATAACGCCTAACAGCACCTGGAATATTATACAGATTAAATATTTGTTAAATAATTTGTTGGTTTTTGTTTTGAGATGAGGACTCACTGTGGTACTCAAGCTGGCCTTGAGTTCTTGGACTCAAGGTCCAAGCCATTCTCCTGCCTTAGCCTCCTTAAAAGCTGAGATTGCAATTGTGCATCACTGAACCCAGTTTTTGCTGAATAAATTTTAGGACGGAATCATTTTTTATTTATTTACATGTTTGTTTATTTTTGTTGGTTGTGGGGCCTGAACTCTGGGCCTGGGTGCTGTCTCTCAGCTCTTCAGCTCAAGGCTAGTGCTCTACCACTTGAGCCACAGCACCATTTCTGGCTTTTTCTACTTATGTGGTGCTGAGGAATTGAACCCCGGGCCTATGCATGCAAGGCAAGCGCTCTACCACTGAGCTACCTTCCCAGCCCCGGAATCATTTTTTTAAATGAGGAGTGTTATATGGTAGTTTTCTTCAAACTCCATTTTTATAACCCCTCATTTTTTTTTAAAGTTTGTATCCTCTCCATATTTTTAAATTGACATTTAAGTTTTTCACCATAAATTTAAATGTAATATCAAATATTGACATATTTAAATAAAACTGTTATGTAAATCTTTAAATGTACTTGACAATATAAATACCATAGAATTTAAAATATCATCCATTAAAAAACATGAATAAACACAAACCATTATAATTTTGACATAACTTTTTTCTCCTTGTATTTTGTTTTCTATGCCCCTTCTTCCACCAGATTTTATTTCAGTCTTTTGTATTTTTATGCTTCAGAGCTTTCAATTATTTTTATTATTAATCATTTTTATTATTAAAATTAATGCTTTTCTATGATTTCAAGATTGACCTATCTGTTATTAATGAGGCAGTTAATTGAAGCAGCATTAATATGTTACAAATATGTTACTATGTCAAGCAAGTTATTTGTAAGTAAAAAGACTGGAGGTGTAGCTCTCTAGTGGTAAAGTGCCAGCTATGAGCAAAAATGCTGTGAGAATGGCAGGCCCTGAGTTCAAGTTCCAGTACAGGCACTGAATGAATGAATAAAAAAAAAAAGAAGTAAAATGTTATTAGGAAGTAGATCTTTTGAATAAAATGTGGCAGAACGTATTTTTGAGAGTTAAAGTTTAGGCTAGAATATAGCTCAGTGGCAAAGTGCTTGCCTAGCAAGTGCAACATCCTGAGTTGGATTTCCAGTACCAGTAAAGAAAAAAACAAACAAAAAATGCAGTTAAAAAAACCCAACAAAACAAAACTAGAAGAGGTCCAAGATTTGAATTCTCCCAAGGCTTGGCACTTCAGAGGTTTTTAGATGCGAGGGAACTATGCCAAAGTAAGACTCAGGGTAGGCTCTGAATGTGAATGATAGGTTTCCTCTACTATATTAACAAGCTGGAAAAAGGACTGCAATGAGGGGAAGTGGGAAGCCAAATTAGCGTAACACCTTCAGCATAGCCTGCAATCAGGCAGGTCATTTTACGGAGTTTTTGTGGCAATCCAGTATCTCAGAATTGATCATTATGAAACTCTGACCCACTTACAACCTGGCGTATCTTTCTTTATTGTTAAGGCCACAGTTTGAAGATTGCTACTTTAAAGGATGATTTGTAGCAATCCTAAGTGGATTGTCACAAGTGTGATTAAGTGAACAAGATGATCATAGTGAACGTGTGCTAATTTTTGTTGTTGCTGTTGTTCTGGTTTTTTTCCTCTCATTGCAGGTGGTTCTGGCAGGGCTGAACACTGCAGTTACACAGCGTCATCTCCCATAGAGAGCCTTGTCTGGCCAATCATATCAAATTCTATTTCCTTGGATACAGCACTTTGTCTAGTAATAGTCATAAAAAGCGAGCAAATGGGCTGGGAAGTTGGCTCAGTGGTAGAGTGCTTGCCTTGCATGCATGAGGCCCTGGGTTCGATTCCTCAGCACCACATAAGCAAAAAGAATATAAGCCGAAAGTGGCGCTGTGGCTCAAGTGGTAGAGCGCTAGCCTTGAGCTGAAGAGCTGAGGGACACTGCTCAAGCTCAGAGTTCAGGCCCCACGACCGGACTCAAAAAAAAAAGCAAGCAAACCAATGAAAATCTTGCCCTGGAATTGGGGTATTAGCACTAGGGAAGGAAATTTTACTTTTTCTGTTGGGAGCTGCTTTAGTATGTTCTAGTTACATAAGCCACTCAGCTTTTTTTTCTTAAGTTGGATTTTTCTGGTACTGAAATAATCTTATTAACAATTGAGAAAAGAAAACTCAAAAGTATTGGGAATTATCTTTTGTAAAATGAATAATTTTGAAAATTTATCTCTTCTAGATTGTTGGACCTTCAGATGGAACTAGTTACATTATAGATTACTATGGAACCAGACTTACAAGACTGAGTATCACTAATGAAACATTTAGAAAAACACAGTTATATCCATAGATACTTTAATAAACAGTAAGTGATACATGTTTCTAATTTAATTAGAGCATATTATTCATATAAAAGAACTTGGGAACTAGGGGAAGTTTTGAGAATCCATTTGGGGATGTCAACTTCTCATTTTGCTTGTGGTGAAATACAGGTCTACTTACACATGATATCTATAATTCTTTGTAAACTATTTGGTTTAAAAATTTTTTTAACCTTATAACAAATAATGCTTTATTTTGTCCTGAAGTAAATTGTCAAGTACGCTTTAAAACATTATTTTATTTTATTTTTTTTCGGTCCGGTCATGGAGGCTGAACTCTGGGCCTGGGTGCTGTCCCTCAGCTCTTTAGCTCAAGGCTAGTGCTCTACCACTTGAGCCACAGCACCACTTCCGGCTTATTTCATTTTGCTTTTGTGGTGCTGAGGAATCGAACCCAGGGCCTCAGGCATGCAAGGCAAGCAATCTACCACTGAGCCATCTTCCCAGCCCCTAAAACATTATTTTTAATAAATTCTGCAAATAAGTTATCATTGAGCACATCAGTTTATGAATACAATGTATCTTGACTGATGTTATACCATTCATCGTTCTTCCCCTGTAAAACATTTTTATGTTCATTATCCTTGCATTTTCAAATTAGATCTCTATGCAATGAATATGGGTAACTACCAAGTTTGCAGCATAAAAATAACATGAAAGCAAAAATCTGCTCATTAATTGATGGTTGTAATGAAAATATATGTTACAAACTGGGCGCCGGTGGCTCACGCCTGTAATCCTAGCTACTCAGGAGGCTGAGATCTGAGGATCATGGTTCAAAGCCAGCCCAGGCAGAAAAGTCCATGAGACTCTTATTTTCAGTTAAACACTAGAAAATCGGAAGTGGTGCTGTGGCTCAAGCGGTAGAGCACTCACCTTATGCTGAAGAGTGCAGGGACAGCGCCCAAGCCCAGAGTTCAAGCCCCAGGATGGACCAAAAAAAAAAAAGAAAATACATGCTACAGAATGTTACAGAATTACAGAATTATGTTACAGAATTACAGAATGTGTAATTTCTGTCCATCTCCTGAGGATTAGCAAGGTCTTGCTGTATAACTCAGGCTGGGTTCAAACTTAAGGATTTCCTATCTCTGTCTCCCTAGTGCTGGAATTAGAGGAGTGGACTGGCACAATTGGCCATAATATGATTGTTAGCCTCTTTCTTTTTTCCTAAACATGAAAGTTGGTAGAACCAAAACCTTCAACTTCCTGTAAGCACTTACTCTAAAGTTTGACCTGACCTGAAAATTCTTACTTGTTTTCAACATTAAACAGGTAATCCTGCTGAAGGAAGAGATATTATTAATCTTACTGCCTGAACTCTGGTTCTCCAGGACTCTGCTACTTGAGAGATTTTGTTTCAGTTACCATACATTAATATTCTAATAAATAATCTTCCAATAATGCAAGATTTTTCTCAGAAGGATTTCCATAAGATGTCAGAAAAGCCATTTCCTGGTATAGTCAGATAGGATGCAGGGCAATTTTTAGGTGATTGTTCAGTTTAAGCTATCAGAGAGGTGTATAGGCCGAGAGAAAAAAGGTTAAATGTCTATACTACCTTCCTTGCTTTTGGATTTTCTGTTGACTATTTCAGAGATTGCTTCTAAAGTCAGGACTGAAGAGACAATTATTTTCTGTATTGTAGTATATAAATAGATTAGAAGATAAAATTTTGCCTATTAAATAGCTTTTTTTTTTTTTTTGGGGGGGGGTCTGGTCATGGGGCCTGAACTCTGGGCCTGGGCGCTGTCCCTCAGCTCTTCAGCTCAAGGCTAGCGTTCTACCACTTGAGCCACAGCACCACTTCCGGCTTTTTTCTTTTTGCTTATGTGGTGCTGAGGAATCGAACACAGGGCCTCAGGCATGCAAGGCAAGCACTCTACCACTGAGCCACCTTCCCAGCCCTAAATAGCTTTTCTGAAATTATGACAGTAAAATGATGAGATACAGTCAGGTGCTGGTGGCTCATGCCATAATCCTAGCTACTCAGAAGGCCAAAATCTGAGAGTCACAGTTCAAAGCCAGCGAGCCAGACAAACCCTGAGACTCTTATCTCTAATGAAACAGCTAAAAGCTGGAACCGGAGACTTGGTTCAAGTGGTAGAGCACCTGCTTGGAATGAAAAAGTTGAGGGGGGAGGGGGAAAAAAGTTGAGGGACAGCACAAAGTCCTGAATTCAAGCCCCAGCCAGCATTTAAAAAAAAAAAAAAAGTTATGCAATATGCCTGTTGTCAGGATACTGAGTAGTGACAGTTCCTGAAAAATGTGACACTATCTAAAAAAATTTTTCTTACAAACTTCAAGAATTATTGAGGCATTTTGTTTGGCTTTGCTTTTATGAGATAGTCTCGCTATGTAGCTCAGGCTGTACTTAAATTCTCCAGCTTTCTGTGTTTGCCTCCTGAGTAGAATTGTTGAGTTACATAGTTGAAAAGAAGCTTAGAGACCCATCTGCCTCTTTTTTCACAAAGTAGACCTAAGGAAGTTTAGAGCAAGAAATCCAAGTAAAGGAGAACTGAAATGAATCGAGCTCTTCTGTAATATCCTGTGACCTACCCAAGCCACCACTTTGTTTTGTTTCAAACATCTTCATTTTAGAAATGATCTCTCCTACTTTATAAGAAGGATGATGTAGTTTTACATACCTCTATTCATACTATAAACTTGTCTCTTTCAAAAGTGTATGTATTGTTGTTAAATCATGAAGTGTAAAAATTAAGCAAGTGTGCAATTTCTCTGTAACCTGTTATGTAAACATTTAATTAGGATTTCTGGCTCATATTTGAAATTTAAAACTTGAAAAGGCATTGTGGAAACTGATATCTGTCTTGCCATTCTCATAATCTCCAAGAATGAGAAAAAAGTGTCTTGAGTAAATGAAATGTTAAAATGTGCCTCTGGATCTGGGAATGTAGCTCAGTGGCAGAGTGCTTGTCTAGATTGCAAAGGCCCTGGGTTCCATCTCCAGTGTTGCTAATTTAAAAAGAAAAGAAATTTTTAAAAAGTGAACCTGTAATAACCTTTAGGGGATTCTTTCAAAGTAATTGTGTTTTAACATATTTTTTTTTTCTTTTTAGGAGTCGAGCCTCCTTGATTTTAACAGAGAATACCCAGTATGTGGATTTCCAGATATTCCTTTTTCTTCGTCAAACACCACTTGATGGGTTCCATCTGATCATTTTTTTTTCATGTCATCATTTTTGATCTAGTTAAATGTATAGTCTCTGGGCACTAGTAGCTCACACCTGTAATCCTAACTACTTAGGAGGCTGAGATCTAGAGGATTGTGATTCAAGAACAGCTTGGGCAGACAAATCCTCAAAACTCAATCTCCAGTTACAAGCAAAAAAACCACACTGGAGGCATGGCTCAAGTGGTAGAATGCTAGCTAAGTGAGCACAAGGCACTGAGTTCAAACCTTGGTACCACCAAAAAAGAAGTGTATTATTCTTGGATTTATTTAATAATTCTTTGTTTATAAGCTGTATAATAGTCTCTCTGAGGCTTCTGTCTCTATGAGACAGATAGCTCTTTATTCTAATATTGTTTAATGTCTCTTATAAAGGCAAGTTGCCACTTGTCATTTTTTCTCTTATGATAAATAAAGACATAACTTATTCACATTTTTAGTGCTTTATTTTTTACAAAACAAACCATGTTGATGTTTGTAAGCAGTTAAGCAATGATGTGACCAGAAACCATTTATACTGATGGGGCTGTGGTCTTGTGTGTGGCATCCCAGCCTTCTTGTGATTCTGTCACTTCCCTATGTCTTCGCTGGGGTTCCTGGGAGCTAAAGGTCATCAGGAGTTTGGGAGCCTTGAGGCAGCGTGGATGCTTGTGTCCTCTGAGAAGTGACTTGTAGAGTGATGAACTTGCTGTGGAAGACCAGCTGTTGACTCCAGATGTCCCTGCAGTTACAAGATGTCCCTACAGACAAGATGGGAACATCAGATAGATGACTAAGATCTGCCATCTGCGAGGGCCACGAGGCAGACCAGCACAGGAGCCTCAGGTGACGCAGGAGGGCCTGAGGAAGCAGCACCTACCTGTATGTCAGCAGTTGGTTCTCTCACTGTGTAGAAGGGATTTAAGAAGATAAAAACACATAAAATGCTGTGTCCCTGTATTTATTCTGCCATTTAGCAATAGGCATATAGGTATATATGTAAATACATATATATTTTATTTTTTATATATTTATTTTTTGTGGGTCTTGGGGCCTGAACTCTGGGATTGGGTGCTTTACCTCAGCTCTTCAGCTTCAGCTGAAGGCTAGCACTCTGCCACTTGAGCTAAAGCATCACTTCTGGCTTTTTCTGCTTATATGGTGCCGAGGAATCAAACCCAGGGCCTCATGCATGCAAGGCAAGCCCTCTACCACTGAGCCACCTTCCCAGCCCAAGTAATAGGCATATATATTACTTTTAAAATAATAGGGTCCTGAAGAGTAAAACTTTTCCCCCAAAAAAGTATACACAGTTAGCTTCATAACCTGTTTAGTCATTCAGTCATAGTTTCTCCAGTTGGTGGGAGATTTTCTTTTCCTTTTCCTTTTCTTTTTTTTGGTGCTGGACTTTGAGCTTGAACTCAGGGCCTCGGTGCTGTTCCTGAGCTTTTGTGTTCAAGGCTAACACTATACCACTTAAGCCACAGCTCTACTTCTGGCTTTTTTTTTTTTTTTTTTGTCAAATAATTGGTTTTTAGTTGGAGAGTCTCACAGACATTCCTGCCCTGGCTGGCTTTGAACTGTCCTCAGATCTCAGCCTACTAAGTAGATAAGATTATAGGAGTGAGCCACTAGTGCCCAGCACTATTTCCAAATAGATATGTAGTGAATTCAGGTTGACTTGGAATATATCCCAGGAAGATCACTGAGTTGTTTGGCCATTCTGTATTGAGTGTGTGCCCCGTGGAAAATGCTGTTTCTAATTAGGAGTGTAGTGGTTAAATAAATACAGAAATCTAATTTTTGGGGGGCTGGGAGCATGGCTTAACTGATCGAGTGCTTGCCTAAGTTGAAACCTTAGTCTTCTAAGGAAAAAAAAACAACATTACATTTTTAAATTTTTTTCAAGTTCAGCTCATTTAGTTTCTAGTCCTTTCCAGTTTCTTTAGGTTGAGGACAGTGCTTTGAAAATTCTTTTAGGATCACCTGAGCCTAGATTTTAAAAGCCCTAAGCCTCCACAGTCACATAAGTTCAATTATGTAAAAAGTAAGTACAGCCAAATCTTGAAAAATACCTTGATTTATGCAGAATGGTTGTGCTAATTAACCTGGCCAAGTGGGAAGAGTGTTGGAAAGCAGGTGCTTCTCAGTGTTTATTCAAGTAAGCCTTACTCCACGTGAGTTGTTGATGATCCCTTCACAGTATATTAATTATTATTAAGCCTTTAGACTTTTTTTTTTTTTTGTCGGTCATGGGTCTTGAACTCTCAGCCTGGGCACTATCCCTCAGCTCTTCAGCAAAAGGCTGGCTCACTACCACTTGAGCCACAACACCACTTTGATTTTCTGGTGGTTTATTGGAGATGAGTCTCATGGACTTTCCTGCCAGGGCTGGCTTTGAACTGTGATCCTCAGATCTCAGCCTCCTGAGTAGCTAGGATTACAGGTGTGAGCCACCAGTGCCTGGCTAGACTTTATTTTTCTATAACTTCCTAACTTTACATGACATGGACACTTTTTTTTGGGGGGGGGGGGGGAGGTTAGTAGTGAGGCTTGAACTTGGGACCTGAGTACTGTCTCTGAACTCTTTTAATCAAGGCTATTGCTCTGCCACTTTGAACCACAGCTCCACTTCCTTTTTGAGTGGTTAATTGGAGATAAGAGTCTCATAGGGACTTTTCTGCTCAGGCTGGCTTTGAATTGTGATCCTTAGTTCTCAGTCTCCTGTGTAGCTAGGATTACAGGCAGTAGCCACTGGTGTCTGGACGACAAGGACACTTCTAATCAGCTTAATTCTCTGTCATCTAATACATGTAATTTTAAAACATTTCTTCTGCTTTATTTATTGTTACTGTAAAGGTGCTGTACAGAAGGGTTACAGTTACATGTCAGGTAATGAGTACATTTCTTTTTGGACAGTGTCACCCCTTCCCTTGCTCTAAGTTTTCTCCTCCCATGCCCACCCACAAGTTGTATAGTTCTTTTTCACATAGTGTCCAGTGAGTACCACTGCTGCAACTTTTGTCCTTCCATTTCTATGTCTCCCCCCTTACTCTACCAAAGATAGATATGACCCAACAATACAAAAAGAAGACAAAAACAGCAACAAAAAAGATGCCTCATTTCCTGCAGTTCATTTTAAATATTTCATATGGTCAGATGTACTGTTTTTTGTTTGTTTTATCGGTCATGGGCTTGAACTCTGGGCCTGGGCACTGTCCCTCAGCTCTTCAGCTCAAGGCTAGTGCTCCACCGTTTGAACCACAGCTCCACGTTAGTTTTTCTAGTGGTTTATTGGAGATGAGAGTCTCACGGACTTTCCTGCCCCGGCTGGCTTTGAACCATGATTCTCAGACCTCGGCCTCCTGAGTAGCTAGGATTACAGGTGGGAGCCACCGACGCCCAGCTGATGTATTTCATTTCTATTTAAGCTTTCTCAGTTTTTTATGTTCTTTTGTGGGCACTATTTCATTATAGATGTTTATTAGTAGCTATCTACATATTTATTAGTAGCCATTCATACACATATGTGCATATGATTATATGTTAAAGTCTATTAAATGTTGTATAGGTTAACCCTGCTTTAGAGCAGTAGCTAGAATTGTGGGTTGGATTAGCTCAGTCATCTTGTAGGTTATTGCTAAACCCTAGGGCAACAGGGATTATTTCTTTCAGATCAAGCCCAGTACCATTTACAAATGATAGTACTTAATCTAGTTAGAAAGGATTTGATACAGGTCCTGGGGCTTGAACTCAGGGTTAGGATGTCCCTGACCTTTTTTTCCTCAAGGTTAGTGATCTACCAGTTGAACCACAGCTCCACTCCCCCCTCCCCCTTTTTTTGGTGATTAATTGGAGATAAGAGGTTTATGGACTTTCTTTCACAGGCTGGCTTCCAGCTGTGATTCTTGGATCTCAGCCTCCTGAGTTGCTAGCCTGAGGTGGTTTTCAGCTTCTCTATAATACCTGAGCCTACATAATTTACAAAAAGCACAAGGGCACCACTCCTGTTACAGGGCCCACTCTCATAAATAACCCTTACATCCCAAAGACCTCATTCAAATATCACTGTGTGAGTCTGGGGATTAAATTTCCAACCCATGAACTTTTGGAGATGGGCACATTAAAACCATAGCTCTATATTAAATTAAGCAGCATTTTATTACATTAAAAGTGTCTATGGCTTAGCATTTGTTTATGGTCCACTGAAATCATACATATTAGCTTGGGGGTGTCTCCTCCTCTCTTCCTTTGTGTGTGTGTGTGAGCTGTCCCTGAGCTTTTTCACTCAAGGGTAGTGCTCAGAAAACCACTTCTGGGCCGGGAGAGAGGTGGGGGAGCATGGGACCAGGGATGCTAAGGGGAAACAAAGGAGGAGGCAACAATACTTGATAAGAAATGTACTCATTACCTTGCTCATGTAATTGTAACTCCTCTGTACAGTATTTTCACACACACACACAAAACAATATAAAAAAAGAAAGAGTGTTTCTGGGGGTTAATTGGAGATGAGTCTCATGACCTTTCCTGCCAGGGCTGGCTTTGACGTGATCCTCAGATCTCAGTCTCCTGAGTAGCTATAATTACAGGTGTGAGCCACCAGCACTGGGCTACTTCCCGGCTTGTTGATGTTTAATTGGAGATAAGCGTTTCCTGGGCTGGCTTTGAATTGAGATCCTCAGATCTCAGCCTCCTGAGTAGTTGGGATTATAGGCTAGAGCCACCGACGCCTGGCTATTCCTCTTTATTTTAAGATATTTGAAATTCTTAAGACTAGCTTAAGTAGTATAGTGATTTCAAAAACAAATCTGACATCAAGAAACCCATTAGAGTAAATTAGCTCTAAAAAGTACAGATCTAAGATTCTAATTCATCTTTCTCTTTCAAACATGGAGGTATTCCCCAGGATGCTGGCTGCTCCTTTCTATGCTCTCATTAAATCATTACCACTTATGCTTTTTTTTTTCTATTTACAGAGTTGGTAGAAGCCTCACAGAAATTTTAAGATAGCACCAGAAAGTGCAAAGAAAATAAACCTCATTCCACAGTCCATAAATGTTTTATCTGGGGCTAGGAAGTTGGCTCAGTAGTAGAGCGCTTGCCTTGCATGCATGAGGCCCTGGGTTCAATTCCTCAGCACCACATAAGAAAAAAGCCGGAAGTGGTGCTGTGGCTCAAGTGGTAGAGCACTCGCCTTGAGCTGAAGAGCTGAGGTTCAGTGCCCAGGCCCAGAGTTCAGGCCCATGACTGGACCCCCCCCCCCCCAAAAAAAATGTTTTATCCACTCTCACAATTCTCAGATCTCAGCCTCCTGAGTAACTAAGATTGTAGGTGTGAACCATCACTGCCCAGCTAGATTTTTAAAAAATATATTGTTATAAAGGTGATGTACAGAGGGATTGCAGTTACATAAATCAAGTAATGACTATATTCCAATGTATGTACATTGCTC